AAAGTTTACAAGCAAATTACTTGTTTCTGGAGCAGTTTGTTTTACCATGGTGTTGCAAGAGAAGAAGAAATCTGCAGAGCAGTCTTAACTTTTGCTTTCTGTTTCTTTAAAAAGGCTAAACGCTATCCCCTTCCCCCTAAAAAAAGCCCAACCCAAACGCTCAGGGCTGCTGATAAAGATTATTCTGTGTTAATGAAGTCAGGGTCCAGTAGTCCTGATGAGCATCAGAGGTTCTTCTGTGAGCTTTGTGGTCACAAACTCTGGTGCTTTGTGGCTTGCTTGGCAGGGGTAAAACCCACACTGGTTTCCATCCTCAAATTATAGATGCTTATTCTGTGTCTTCTGATATGTGAACTAGTCCGAGTTTGACAAGAAGATAGTTGTTTTCAAAATGCTTTTTTTTTTTGTACAGAAATGCAAAACTTATTCTTCTTTCTGTTGCTGTTGTCAGGGTTTCAGATGTGTGCTAGTCCTGGGTGGGGCAGCATCTACAATAGAAACTCCTGATTGCCTAGGGCTTTGTCAAAGGGATGTTTCTAACTTAGTTACATTCCAAATGTCTTAATTTAAACCCACAGGCTAATTCCTTGTTTTATTTCTAAATTCCTTTGCTGATAAGCTAAATGAGGTAGGGAAGGCAAGTTTAGGTCCAAAATATGAGCTGACTCTTAGTAATATGCTGGAGTGGTTGGGCAGTTTCTGTGCTTGTTTGCCAATCAAGCCTGTACCCTTCTTTAGGGCATTATATTGCTGTTCTGCCAGCTTTTGTCTTTTAAAAGCTAAAAAACACAGTTCTGTCATGTAAACATGTAATGCGTTTTGGGGAAATAAGAAAGAGGTTGAGTAGAGGACAAACTGCAGTCCACAGAGGGTTTTGGTTTTTACCTCAATTTTTAGATCATTTAGATTCCTTTCTGCTCCCAAACACGATATTCACAAGGTAATAGATTGAACTTGAACTATGTTTTCAGGGTGCCTCAAATGAAATTAAGGGACAATGTTGTGGGTGGAGGAGGTAGGTAAGGTGATAAAAGCAGCTGTTGGAGTGATTGAATGGCATGACAGAGACACAGGGCCTGTGGTCACAAGAGCCCTCCAGTTGCCTGCACATACATCATGTTGTATAACAGCAGCAGGCTTCAGCAAACAAGCATCCGGGATAGGAAGCTTTTCTTCTCTCTTTTGTCATCACAAGAGTTTAATTTTGTGTGTGTTTAGGTTTGTTTTTATTTCCTCTTAAAGGAACAAACTGTTCTGACATTGTCCATTACGAGTCCATTAAGTGACCGGAGGGCAAGCAGAGCCATGTTGGCCAGAGGAAACAGTCGGTAGGTAATGAAGCAGAATTTGGCCCTGAGTCAGTCCTTGGCTTTTATTGTCAGGCTGCAGCAGTGTGAAAGGAAACAAATGTTTTAGCAACTTGGTGAGTTGGTTTCTCACTGGGCTGTAACTTGCTGACATTTTTAGAATCTTGTGTGAGAAATTGACTGGCTTGGGTACCATGTGCTTTGCTGAATGGCCATACTGTGTTTTTGACTGAGTGTGGCTAATTTGTTATACAGATCATAATGTCAGCCTCTGGGGGTTAGCTTTACAGACTCATAGGAATCTAAAGAAAATTACTTTGATGGATAAAATAACTTGTCACTCTTGCTACCAAAGCACCAGCATTTCAGTTGCATTTTTTTTCACAGGGATTTATAGCAGAAAGCTTGACACAACTGTAACTATAATGACCAATTAGAAAAATCAAATTACATGAAAGCAGAGTCTGATTGGGCAAGTGTTGTCTATGGGTTTTATAATTGACCAGCACATTTTGGGAAGATGGGAGCTATGGGGGTGTCTGATTCCTTGCTTAACTGAAATAGAAAGGATGCTCCAATACAGAAGAGATAGTAGGGGTATATACATTAATTTTCTTTCTTTCACCAAGTCTTTCATCAAGACTAAGTAATTTGTGTTTATTGAAGACGAGGTTTTTTTTGTGGTTTAATTTTTCTTCCCCTTCCTAGGAACTCCTCTTTTCAAAAAGAGGAAGAAGGGGCTGGATTTTTAGTAAATACCATGTAAGCTACTGCAGCACATAGGAGCACTTACACAAACTGGACCTGTGGTGTTGGGCGAGCAGCTGTAGGAGCAAGGCCCAGTGATGGAGTCCTGTCAGGCTGAAGCTGGTGTAATGCTGAGAAGAGCTGTCGTGTCCTACCATGCATGTGCTCATGAAGGGCCGAACCCCCCAAGTGTGGTGTTTCTAGAGCTCCTACTACACAGGATTTATAAATCCGTGACCTTTTTCAGGACTGTTGCTCTTCTTTTACACAGCCATACAAGTGTTTTTTGCCTCTTTGTGCTTTGCTTTTATCATGTTAAGGAGTAATAATGCTAGAACAATGTGAGTCCTCAGACTTTGGTGTTACTCTTCATTCTCACAGCAGCTTAAGGAAGGAAAAAGGTAGATCGAGCCTTAGGAAAGCATCCTGGTACATAGGTATGTACATGGGAGTGTTGGCAGAAAAGGGACAAACAGGTTACTGAATGATATTTAAAAAGAAGTATGTTTAAATCTCAATATGTTCACTACAAATAGTATTTGCAATTAGTGTAAATGGGAAACATTATCAAGAGTTGGACAGAGTCTGGGATTGAGTTTTGTACAAAGCTAGATTTATTTTTTTTTGTCCAACAGTGGCAGTTAATGATCTAGTCCATTCCTGTCTCTTAAAAGAAAAAAAAAACACCAACCAACTTCTGGGGGAAAAAATGGAGCAAACATATTCAGTGTATTTGGAGTTTTCATCTTGACCCTGTCAGTCTCTTGTGAGATGGGTACTTAGAATGAAGTAACTTCCTGGTAGATCCTATCTGTCTTTGATGGCAAAGAGCTCTATTTCACGGAGGGAAGAGAGCAGGGTTAATGTGATCTCTTAGGTAATGATATTCCCTTGGAACAGCACCTTGAGTTTCAGTGAGCTGGTTTGAGCATGGCTTGCTGTGCGTGCACTATAGCTATCTTGAAGCTCTTTCGGAAAAATCTTTTTCTGCATTGGACTGTCTTTGTCTGGTTGAGCTCAGAAGTAGGCTGTGTTGGATCAGCTTTAGCTGCCAGAGGGGAGGCATGGAAGGGTGAAACAATGGCTGATGGCTGATATTCACCCTTTGATGTGCCCTAAGCAGGGTTTTTTAGCTGTATCCTAAAAGGAGCCCTGAACTGAGGTTTTGTTTTAAATTGATATCAGCAATTTCATAAAGCTTGTTAAGTCTTGCAATTGTTGTGGCATCTCATTTCTTACCAATATGACTTCTCTTGTCTGGGCTGAGCTGTAACCACTATTCCTTGTTTGTGCCTGTTAGATCAAAAACACCTGATCACTGGTTTCATTACTTTAGTAGCTTGTGTGTAATGGCTTTATGGCTAGATACATTAGATATAAAAACATGAATAGTGTCAGCTTCAGATGCACGTTAGGCCAGAAACCACAAATTTTTAGGTCTCCTATTCAAGAAATCTTCTGGTAGTATTCTGTGATTTTTAAAATCTTTTTTTAAACAAATATTTGGATTTTATGGCTAAAACTTCATTGTGCAGCAGTCTGAATTGCTGCTGTGTCGTACAATCTTTTAAGTGGTGCCTTTTAATTATAACATGAAGTAGAACCTTTTGAGTTTCAATCCAGCTTTTTCTATGGCTTCATCCTAGTGCAGGGACGGGTAATCTGAACACCATGGTGTTGTGCTGCTTTGTTGTATGGAGCTTGGAAAAACTGATGCTAGCTGCCACCAAGAGGTTCTGCAAGAGAGCATTCCAGGCAGCAGTGTGCTGTGGGCACCTGAAACCTGTCTCTAGACTGGTCTGTCAAGAGGCTGGTGGAGTCCTGAAGGCCTCTGAGAGACTGTGATCTGGGCTACAGTGTCAAACTGAGTTTGCCTGGTGGAAGACACTGCCAGTCTTGGCTTTGGTCTGCGGCATGGGTTTGGAGGCTAAATCCTTTGACAGGCTGCATGTGTATCTCTTCTTGGCTGTAGCAAGCAGACCTGAAAATCCTTGGTAAGAAAACTTCCTTCCTGGTTGTCAGAGTTAATTCACTGTCATTTAAATGCAAGTGATGAGGCATAGTCTCACCTTTAGCCAGTGCTCAGTACAGTTTGTCCAAGATGTGTCCTGTGGTATGGGCAGAGCTGTGCTGGAGGTGACTCATCCTGCTTTAGATGGACAGAGTCTGTAAAATTGTAGGTGACTCCCAAATGGCTTCCTTAAACAACCTGGGAAGCTACTTATTTTCTACACAGCTGGAGGCCACTGCTTTTCCCTCTGTTCTGATCTGAAGGTGCTTGCCTGTCCTTCTTCCTTGTCCTGTTGGGTCCTTCTGGCTGTCTGTCTCTCAGACCCAAGGTGGTGGTTCTTTGGTGTCACAGTAGTAGGGGCATCTGAAGGGAAGAGCTGCTGAGCCCTTTGCACACTTTAGCTGAACTTGACTGTGACTGATTGCTAACATGATTCCTAACTCAGGTGTGAAACCAGGCTGAGGGTGGGGTAAGGCTTCAAGTGTTGTTCTATCCAGCAGCTTTGTTACCACAGTTGTTGTGCCATGCACTGAAGGAAATTATTTGCATCAGAAGTTTGAATAAAGGCCTCAACACCCTTTGGAATAATGCATCCAGGCAAAAAGGTGTTGACAGAGTCTGTTAATTAAAAGCCCATGGTTTCATAGGTTGCTTTTCACTGCATGGGAAGCTTGTGAATTTTATGCATTAGAATCCTGCCTGGGAGGTGCCCTGAGGCTGATTCTAATGCAAAGGAGCTGCTCTGGTTGCCCGCAAAAATGATACATTTGTGTGACTCTGCAAGTACCAAGGTCTTGTAGAAGTTCGAACAGCTTTATTGACAGATTAGACAAAAAATTCTCCTACTTGTCAGGATAGTGTTTAATATGTCATGTTCTGAGCTATCTAGGATTAAGAATGCATTCTCACTCATGGTTTTCTTATTCTCTCTCCAGATGAACACAATGATGTACAGAAGAAGAGCTTTACAAAATGGATAAATGCTCGGTTTTCCAAGGTAATGGTGGTTTGAAAGTACTACTTTATTTTGATTCACTGTTTAGAACAATATTAGTTAAATATACTTTGCTGGTGCTCTTGGAGGATATTCCTATTAAAATGTGTCAATGTGTAATGAAAATAGGTAGAATACCATAATGTTTGTTCCCTCAGTTTCCCCATGCATGTGAACATTTGATACTATGTCTTAAACATGAAAGATGCTGTTTGTTAATACATTGGAATAGTGATTTGCATGAGTGTGTCTGGTTCTGTTCCTCTTCGTACAGTTTATTCCTACATGCAGTTTTCAGAGTCCATTACAGCAGATTTTGAACCTTCATCACTGTTTACTCTGTGTTGCTGAGTCAGCTTTACTCACTCTGCAAACCTCCAGTTGAAGCCACCTGGTGTTGCTACTTGAGTCTTGACTATGAAATTTTGTGTAATCACTTGCTCATTTTGAATTTTTTCTTGTCTCTCATGTTGTTCATTTCTTGCTTTAATTCTCTCTACTGACTTGAAGCTTACTGAGGATCTTGTTTTGTGCTTTAGGATGAGAAAGGAAGTGATGTTTGCATTGGGATGCTATTTAAAGCCTGCTTTTTACACTCTTCTGCTGATAGGGAAAAATGACACTTTGCCCAGGAACACAGTGGCTGTGGGAAGTTTTCCTACTTCATAGTTTCAATGTGTGAAGAAACCTGTGATATTATCAGGGTAATACTAGTTTGCATGCTTTTAATGAAAAGGAGCATGCATGTGAAATCCTGAAAAATGATATAATACAGAAGGAAGGGGGTGTGTGGAGAGTTTGGTTCTTTTTGCTTTTTAAATAAGGCATCAGCAGTGCCCTAGCAATGACTGATTGCCTCTGGAGCACTGTCCTTCTGAAGTTCTTGATCAGCAATGTAAGGAATTTTTACCTTCTTTTCCTTCCTGTGCAACAGGACACTGGGCAATGCAAGGCTTGTGGCCTTGGTTGATTGGCTTTGGCTTAGGTTTGTTTTGGTTGAAAGCTGATATCCCACACTCTTCATCCAATGCATTCTTGGCTAGTTTGCTCTTTTGGAGAGGAGTGTATATGGGTAATGGGTTGCTCTATGCTTGGCTTTTGACTGCCGCCCAGAGGAAAGGTGGTCCTGCAGGAGGAGCACTAGGCAGGGCAGGATCATGTAAGGATTGAAAATGTGGTGAGAAAGGACTGTTAGTAGAGACTTATCCTGGCATAAAGATGAAGATGGAAATGACAGTGATACTGAGAATGTGCTGGGTGACTGGTTTGTATATGCTATGGACAGTGTATTGAAGTAGGTAAAATTGTTTTCAGTCCTCCTGCTTGGACACCTATAGATATATTTTAGAAAGTGTCTTTTTGTCTTTATACTATATATTCAGACAGATCCTGCTTAGTTCCTAGATTTCCCTGGCACAGTCTATGGTCAGATAATCACTGGATTTGAAGTAACTGTAACTTCATGGCCCATTAAACCACCTGAAGCTAAGAAAGCCATGTTAATGATTAAAGAGACTCCCATAAAAGGACATGTTCCCACCTACTGCACATCCAGTTCAAGCTTGAGCATGGTGACTTTGCCATGACAGGGTGCAGCTTTGTGAAGACTGGCATGTTCAAATTGCAAGGAAGTTGCTGGTGTTAAGTAGAAATCACCTCATGTCAAAATGTCTGGTTTCAGCCATACCTTAAAAATGTGAAGGGACTGATTTCAGTCGTGTCGAAGTTTTTTATATTTATCAAGTCAGTTGGGTTGTTTAAAATACCTTTTCTGCAAGCTAGATTGGTTCAGATGCTTAGTAGGATAGAGGGGTGTTAGAGGCTGGGTGAATGTTATCTGTCCTACGTTGCAGAAAACAAAATGGTAACTCAGGTATTTTGTATGAAACTGCAGATTTCGCTCCAAGAATTGGACTTGTCCTTCCATGTTAATTATATTGTACTCACCTTTCATTTAAAAACATAAATAAAAAGTAATCCATTGAGCATTTATAAACTAGTTTGGCATACAAAAATCCTAAAATTACAATTCCATAATGCTAAATTTGATTTAAGTCAATTCAGTAGGGTCTTACAAAGGATTTATAAAGAGCAGTGTCTTTCTCTTCTCATCAGAGAACAGGTAGGTAAGCAAAACACATTAAGTATCTCAAATGTGCTGTATTTGTTTCAGGCACCTGTTCAGTGAGGTATGAATTCTTGCTGTAGTTCACAGTACAGTAACTTGTGTTTGTGCTCTTCATTTAAACTGCTCAAGAACAATACATTCTAATTTGCATGTAATGTTTGAAATGAAGGCACAAACATTTAAAGTGGATTGAGTCTTAAGGTCAATAAAAGTACTCAGCCAAGACTCCATGCTTGCTGTAGAAATATTTACCTCAGCAGAGCTGTACACACTATAATTCAGAAGCCTATGGTGCTTGTGCAGTAAGGGTATTTTGTTAAAATTAAAGGGAATAAAAATTGAGGCAAATAGTCTGTTACCAAGTTTTAACCAATAGGGAAGTTTGCATTCAAATAAATATTGATGCGGAACATTTCCGCCTATGTTTATAAAGCCATGTGATGTTTTTACTTACTGTATTATTTCTGTTACTCTGTCTAGTCTAATTTCAAGAATGAGATTTAGCTGTTTCCCTGTGGTATAGCCTTACCAATTAAGGAATCTAGTTATATGCTCTCCACACTCTGTAGAACTGTTTTCTATCCCTTTCTATATTAATCTGCATTAATATTTATTGGTTCATATGTATTAGCAGATATATTGTCAGAACACCTTTCTGAAACACAGGAGTACTATCTTGTCACAGTGGTTTGCAGCCACTGCAAGTAAAGGTAGATTTCAGAAGTGGATATTAATTTTGAGTGCCCAATCTGAGACTTTGGCTAAATTATCCCAAAGGACTTAACATTTCTGTCGTATCTTGGTATGAAACAGAGCTCTTGAGTCTTATGGCAGAGTTCAGAGGGTTCATCTCCTCCTCAAGCAAACAGTCTAAAATATCTAGTTGATTTTCAGATGGAGCTTGATCAGCATGGAAAAGGGACTTCAAGATAATGATGCCTGTGTCAGCAAGGAGTGATTATCCAAAGAAGTCTCTTAATCTGGCACACAGTGATCACATGTAAAATTGTGCTTTAAGTGATTCTGATTAGCCACAGGGGAGCTATTGGCTGAAAGTTGAATTGGAATTCAAATCCACAGGATAATTTAGTGCTCCGCTAACCATATGTTATTTGTTCCACATAGGTAAAGGGAGACTGAACCAAGATCTTGTAATCAACCCTAGTTTTGGTTTTTCTAAATGTCTGAATAGTTTCAATCTGTATCTATGTGCAGGCCTAGGACTTTTTATTCTATCTCAGATCTCTGATGCTTCAGCTCATAATTACATAGCATAGTGGGTGGATACTCACACTTGCAACTCTAGAAGGTTTCTAGAAACTTGATAGTTATGTTGAGGAATTCAGGAGTCTTGTGTCCCACTTTAGATCCCTGCAAGTACAATTTTTTTCTGTCCTGTTTTCTTCTACTTTCTGACCCTGTTTTTGTGGTTTCCCCCCCCTCCCCTTACTATTACACCCGTGTGTGTCACAAAGCTTGCCTGCCTGGCACGTCCTGGGAAATCTGGAATTTTGACTGCCCTGCCTATTTCATTCCCACTTCTGCCTTTGTCACTTAGTTGTTTTCCCAGCAAGACCCACTTTTTCTTTTTAAAGCTTCAGACCTGCTCCTTCTGTCCTTCCTTTACCCTTTCCAGCCTCTACAGGATTTGATGCTTATGTGGTCAGTCCTATTTTTGCATCTCCTTTTGTCTCAGCAGTACTAACCTTGCCCTCTCTTTACCTTCTTGCAGGATTCAGTCTTTGCTGGCTTTTGTTTTCCCATTTTCCAGGGCGGTACTTTTCCAAGTTTGCTTTCAGATTGGTTCCTCTCCTCTTCCGCATTTCCTGAACTTGGCAGGTTGGACACAGTGTCAGCACAAGAAACATGATGCCCTAACTCTTAATTTAGACCCATGGAGTCAGGTCTGTCACAGCCTGTCGGATCTTAATGCTGTCACTCACTCGAGGAAGTTCGCAGATCCAGCATGGCTAAATTGAGACTTTCTTTCCCCCAAAGAATTGTTTCTTCATTACATCTGGGAAGTTTTCCCACAAGGGTGGCAAAAAAGCTTTATTGCTAGGAAGGTTGTGCTCTGCAAAAAGAACATAAACCCCCGGAGATGTTTGTGGTATCAGTGGAAATGACACTGGATTTTCCCGCCCCTGGTTATGTCTTGGGTGTGGATGGCTGCTGAATGGAGACAGCTGGGGGCATTGTTCCAAGGTGTCCGGAACTGCATTCAAAGCCTTGCATGCCTGAGTGCTGGGGTTCCCTTCCCTTTCGGTCGTGTACTCCCATCTCTATTTCAGTCTTACATACAGATGGCTTATACAGTTTGCAGTGTTCTTGCTGCAGGTATTCCCGTGATTCTGCTCCTCCAGTTGCTACTGCCCCAACACCTGCATTGGCCAGCAGCTGCAGCACTGCTAGGGCTTGGAGCTGGGACCTGCCAATGTGGATAAAGTCAGACATCTCATGCATCTGCAGCGTCTTAAGCTCTCTACTGCTCTGTGGTCTTCCAGAAATGTGTTTCAATTTAGGGGTAAAGAGCAAAGAAGAGGCTGAGATGCAGCTTGGGAGCAGATTGCATCCTTCAGGGCTGAGCTCCTGGTTAGCCTGTGAGGAGGCAAATGCTCAGTGCTGGGACTCCTGTGCATTTCCTCTCTTGAGCACTGATGTGTCCCCTCCCCTGGAAGGACACCAAATAAAGATGAGAGAAGCCAGGGCAGTAGAAGAACTTATGAGTGGTACTTGGAGTGCTTTGGGATGTTAGGGCTTCATATGCTTCTTAAAACTGAAACAGTCCCTCCCTCCTTGTACCAGGCATTAATTCATTTGTTAGCTGCAAAGTCTTGCCTAACTTTCTGGGTGATGTGCTGAGTAGATGTTTTCC